TACATTCCATGAACAATTAAAGCATCTGCTATTTGAAAAATTAAATCATGAGGTTAAGAATGTTTTCAAAATACATATCAGAAAAAAAACACTCCAAAAAACTCACAAAATACAACAATCTAATTTTTAAAAAGGTACTACAAGCGTATCTCAGGGTAGAACATATGCTTTGAATAAAAGTTTGATCTCCTACACAGGCTTAAAAAGATTTTTCACTAAATAAGATACATATAAAACAAATAAGCATATATTAAGAATAAAGTAAATAAGCATATAAAATGTTAAACATTAAGTATCAAGGAAATGTAAATAAGCTGACTGAACATCTATCAGAATGACTAAAATTTAAAGCTCACATGTGATGGGGACAAGACACTAGGATAAATCTGAGAGAGAAGGAATCAGTAGTTGTACATAGGATGTGGCAGTCAAAACAAACCAACCTTGATAAAACACTATAGAAGAGAAGAAAGGGCCAACTGTAACACAAGTAGCTCAATGTCGCATTGTGATACTCTCTTGGAATCCCAGCATTCTAGTACTCATGAATTCAAGGCCAGCCTGATCTACATGGTGAGTTCTGGGCCAGCCAGAGCTACATAGTGAGACCCTGTCTAGACAGACAGATGGACAAACAGATGGATTACATACATACATACATACATACACACACACACACACACACTCTGCATGCATATTAAAAGAGCTAATTAATAACAAGTTATGCACACAGAAAATCCCACTAAATCTATAAGTAGTACAACCTGGAAAATTGGCAAACAATCCTACAGCACCAAGGTTTTTTCTTCAAATAATCCTAGAAACAAAAACAGCTCTGCTTCTATAAACAAAATGAGACAAACTACATGAGTGCCTATAAGACGATTGCATTTATCATATAGACAAGTCTACTAAAAAAATTACATTTGAAAGGTAAACACATGAATCTCACTGTGAAGGGAAAATAGAGCAGATACCACAGGTGAAAAAAAGAAAAATGGTGGTAGGAGCCTGGATGGGGGTAGGGATGAGAACAAGAGGGATCAATGAGGGGAAGATGGAGGGAGAGTACTGGGAGAGACAACTAAAATGGGGGGCCAGCATCTCTGGAACGAGCTAGAAACCTAAGGCAATGAAAATCCCCAGAAATTGATGAGGGTGACCCTAGCTAAGACTTCTAGCATTGGGGGATAAAGAGCTTGAACTGGCTATCTTTTGTAACTAAGAAGGACTTCCAGTGGAGGAATAGGGAAACCAATCCAGCCACAAAATTTCTAACCTATAATTTGTCCCATTTACAAGATGTGCTGGGCAGCCGGGCGGTGGTGGCACACGCCTTTATCCCAGCACTTGGGAGGCAGAGGCAGGCAGATTTCTGAGTTTGAGGCCAGCCTAGTCTACAGAGTGAGTTAGAGCTACATAGAGAAACCCTGTCACGGACCCCACCCCCACCCCCCAAAAAAAAGATATGCTGGGTAAAGAGGACACAGAAATTGTGGGAATGCCCAAACGACAACTGGTCTAGCTTGAGACTCATGAGTAGGTGCTCACCCTAGACACTACCTAGAGGGACAAGAACCAAGGCTCGTAACCCAGAGGCCTACTACAGAATGAAATGATTCCTAATGATATTCTGCTATACTCATAGATTGGTGCCTAACCCAAATTGTCATCAGAGAAGCTTTACCCAGCAACTGATAGAAACAGATAAACAGACCCACAGTCACACATTTGGCAGAACTTGGGATCCTTGAGAGGAGGGGGTAAAAGGGTTATAGGAGACAGAAGGGTCAAGGGCACCACCAGAAAACCCACAGAATCAACTAACCTGGACTTGAGAGGCTCACAGAGATTGAACTGTAAACCAGGGAGCCTGCATGGGACTAACTTAGGCCCTCTGCACTTATGCTGTAGTTGTATAGCTTGGTCTTCTTGTGGGACTCCTAACAGTGGAAGGAGGGACTGTCTCTGACTGATACCTGCTTTTGAGACCCTTTTCTCCTACTGAGTTCTTTCTCTTACCTTAGTAAGAGAGGAGGTACCCAGTTTTACTGCAACTTGATACTGCTGGTTGATATCCATGGGAAGCCTGCCCTTTGCTGAAGAGGGGTGTGGGAGTAAGAGGGAAGGACTGGGAAAAGAGGGGAAACTTCAGTGGGAATGGATGAATGGATGGGTAGATGTCATAAAAATTACATTTTACATGTTTAAATAGAGATGGGAGGAACATCAAAAACCTGAAGCAACAAATTCATACAAAATCTTTTTCCTTCCCATTGTAAGCTTTGTCTCAGATCATATATAAAATCAATGACTTAAGTAATACTTCACAAAATTTTGTGAAGGTATGTGACAGCACAGGCCTTTAATCCCAGCACTCAGGGGGCAGAGACACTAGGATCTCTGTGCGATCAAAGCTAGCTTATGCTACATACAGAATTCTAAATCAGCCAGGGCCACACAATAAAACCCTGCCTAAAAACAACAATCTATATAAACTAAGAAGGTTACATTGTGTCCAAAAAGATATTGCTTGTTCAATTCCTAGAAAACAGTATAAAAACTAAAAGTTTAACAAATAAACCCTTTTCTTGATGTATACATCACTTTTCCATCACTTTAGTTTTCTGAGAAAATATTTTAAGTTACGTTGGACACCAAATTCTAATAATATGAAAATATAAGAATAATCTGTAATAACTGTCCTATACTTTTTATATTAACCAAATTATACAATGCTCCAGTATTAGATGAGAACAGTAATATTTAAAGAGATGACAAATAATACTTTTCTGAGAACCAAAGTATAGAACATGGGAAAGCATTAGCTAAATGTGTAAGTTTCCACTAAAAACAGTGGAGTAAAACAGAAAAATCTCAATAACAAAACTATACAGAATAAAATTCATCAGGCATTAAAGGAAAATGTTTCAGGGTACTCATATTCTATTATGAAAGGATTTAAAGGAAAGGTAGATGCAATGCTGAATCATCCAAAACAGCATTAAACAAAGAGGATGGTGAAGCGGGGAACATGACTAATTTCTCACCAAAAATATCTATTCTACTCAGATAAATACCTATCAAAAGGTGTCAAGTCAACAAGGTTTGAAAGGAAGGGGTGTTAACCTCAAAACAGTTCCCAAAATGGTTAAAATAAACAACATGAGAACTCACAAAGGCTCTAAATCAAGAATGTTCCCATGCTATGGCCCACATTAAAAACAAAAGCCAGCCACTGAAAGAGCAATCTGTATATTATCAGAAGAAAATTAATTTATTTGTTCATTTTCTACAAAGGTCCAGGAACCTGACGTCAGTTTTTGTTTTCTTGGCAGGTAGACACTCTACAGAAGTAACAAAACACACAAAATATAATGTTCTTCCAAATTGTAGTCCTGAAGTAGAAATGACTCCATAAAAAACTCATGAAAGTCACAGGGGAGCAAATGCCTAGTTATGTTACTTAAAAAACTTTTTGTTCCATTAGCTAGACAATACAAAATAATAACAGTACACACATATAACATACTAAGAGTAACACTAGCTACAGAGTCAAAGAATAGTATTCCTTAACAATTTTTGAAACTTAATTACATACAATCCATATCTACTATAGCTGAGAAAATGCTACTTTTCTTAAATGTTATTTTGAAGTTATTTTTGACAAGAGGCATAAGAACCTAACACTGTAGAAACATTTACATAAAACCCATGACAGAACTGTTTCCCTTGTCCTAAAAATAACCAAAACACTGAATACAAGAAGCCCTCTTCTAAGTTGTTTGACAGGGCTGTCTCTAAAAGACTCACAAAATCTACTGCTGTTGTCCTTGGTAATTCCCCAGAGGTAGAAATTCCCCTACTGCAGAAGACACTTCAGAAACTGGGCCCAGAGACCCCAAGTGAAAACAGACTTGAACACCCACTCCCTGTGGACTAGCTTTCATAAACTACTACCCAGTTAAGATGCCTATGAACCACATCAACAATCTGGTACTGAAAACCTAGCTAACTACTCAGTTCTAGTGAAATTATGGTTGCTGGAAGAGAATCTACAACCAATTTACTAAACCAGCACAATCCTTAACAACAATCTATAAATCATTGTCCTTATACCCCCAGATAAGTATGTATGGTCTTTGCCTCCTCATCAAGGAAACGTCTCCTTGCAACAGAGATCACTGCAGAAAACCACAACCAATCAGAATGCAGTTGTGCAGCTCAGTACCAAAAGATACATCTATAAGACATTCCCACACCTAAGGATCAGGAAACACTGCAGAAGAGAGAAATGGTTGCCAACTAAATTATAATCTCAAAACTATAAAAAAAATTTTAAACTCTTACTGTTTTGGAACTATGACAAATATACATATCTTCCTATTTCTCACTTCTTTACAAAATATTTTATTACTTTCCACAAAAAAATAAAACATTTCAAAAATCAACATAATGTAATGAAATATATGTAAATATCAAAAAGGAGCCACTGAGAACTAAATCTAGCTTGAGTAATTCTTAATCAGGTTGATGATTAAAAGGATTTATGAATAAAAATGTCCTAAATGTATATACATGTGCACATTCTTTATGTATATTGCACAGCTTAATTTGCCCTTATCCTGTTAAAATGTGGCTACTGGGCAAAATGTCTTTTAAAATGACTTCTTAATTACTAACTGAAGACTTGCTCTCCTTTTTAAGCAGTACTAATCCCAAATGACTTTTCAAGTTTTAAAAACTAAGGATCACACTATCTTGAAACTTCCTCTTACCTTCTGGACCAAATTCTAAGTAGGATAAAGAAAGATGGGGCTTGTGAATTGGAAAAAGAAAACATGCACTAAATACCCAGTATATGCCTAGACAGCACGAACTTTCATATAGCATCTCACTAAACTTATGAATAATATATTAACTGTCAATTTACAGATAAGGAAACTGAAATACAGACAAGTTGTGAAACAACCAATATCCCACAGATGATGTGTAAGTAGAATTTCTTTTAAGTCCCCAACAGGGTGCACTATTCCTGCAATGCCCGGTCTAAAAGTGGAATGAATGTATAACATGTTCCTATCTATCTCCTTATTCCAAAAACATATATATTGTTCTTGGAGAGAGAACACATCAGATAGCAAACTGGTAAGAACAGATGCTACACTTGATTTTGGCTAAAAGTCTAAAAAGCAGATAATGGAATTTAAACACAGATCAAGTGCTTGAGATATGGCTAAGGAATATAATATTTGGCTATCACTTAACGGGAAAAAATAAACCCAAAGCTATGAAATATAAGTTAAGTCCAACTATAAAATCTAAGCTCTTACTAAGCCATCCCCAGCTTAGTTTTGTACATTCCTTAAAAAAAAAAAAAGTAAAAAAACGAGTTTTACAGTCTTAATGTAAAGACAACTTTTCAGCAAGGCAAAGACCAGTAGAAATTAAAAACCAAGGAGGCTTAGTGACAGAAATCTTTAATTGCAGGACTCAGGAGACAGAGGCAGTCAGATCTCTGAGTTGAAGCCTAGCCTGATCTACACACAGGGTTTCAGGATAGCCAAGCCTATATATAGTAAGATCCTGTCTTTAAAAGAAAATAAATGAAGCTAAAAGTTTAATTTGATACTGATAAAGCAAAGAGTAAGGTCAAAAGACATCCCAGAAACTGTAACAAAAACTCTGTAAAATATTTACAAGCAGCATTACAATGGGTTTTTGTTATTGTTATTGTTGTTACTATAAAACCTCACAAATCAGTTTTTTAAAAAAGTATAAATTCCAATAGGAATATTTAGGGTGAAGATCATGATCAGGCAAGTCACAAAACAATATAAAAGAATTAAAAGAATACACAAATGGGACAAAAAAATCCTCGCTAGCAAAAAAGTAAGTATTTTATAAAATATATGACTATTCTCAGAATGACAATGATTAATAACATAAATGACATCTTAGAGGAAGAAGCCATTGTTTAAAAAACTGGTGATAAAACTTTTTCAGGAGTATTATAAACAGAACTCAGAACCTCATGATTGCTAAGCCAAACATTCTACCGCTGAGTTTTGTATTTTCAGCCCCCAACACCCATGGTTGTAAAATTTTATGCATTTCTAAAGAGTAATCTGACAAGATTTATCAAAATTATATACGTACTGGATTCTGCAAACCCACTTGTAGAAATTTATCCTTTAAAGAAAAAAACATTCAAGGACTGGTGAGATGGTTTAGTGGTTAATAACACTGCTCTTCCAGAGGTTCTGAGTTCAATTCCCAGCAACCACATCTATAAAAAGATCTGATGGCCTCTTATGAAATGTAGGTATACATGTAGACAAGGCACTCCTACATTAAAATACATATACATAAATAAATAAATTGTTTTAAAAAGCATTCAATACGGGAACTGCAGAGGTGACTTGTGTAAAGTGCTTGCTGGGAAAGCATAAAGGTCTCTGAGTTCAGAGCCCCAGAACCCATGTGGACTCTAGAAGTATGACTGAGGAAGACATCCCAATATTCTGGCCTACCCACAACACCAAGTGAGCATTCTCAGACACAAGCAAACAACACACACAAACACATACAAAAGTATTCAAAGACATTTATATTTTTTACTTTGTTTTGATAATCAACATAAATTATCAACTAGCAGGAAACTGGATAAATGGTGTATCAATAAAGACTAAAATGAAGCCATTAAAAATGACTTATAGAAACATTTGTCAATTACTTCCAAACTCAGAGTTACCATATAAGCAAGTCCATTCTTAAGAATATACTCAGGAAAAATAAAAACGTATGTCCTAACAAATTCTACACATTATTACAGCAAAACTATTTAGAATAGTAAAAAACATACAAATGCAAAAAAAAAAAAACATGTTAACCACATGTTAACCATAACAAAGAATGAGAACTAGGAATGTAGTTGACTCATAGAAAGACTGCCTACTATTTACAAAGCTCTGAATTTAATCCCCAGTACTGCATAAACTGGTGTGGTGATACACATGTCTGTACTAGCAATACTTACAAAGTGGAGGCAGGAGGATACAAAGTTTAAAAAGTCATACTTTGCTATGTATCCTACATAACATCCATGGCATGTTGGGAATTAGCTTATGATACAGAAGACACTGTCTCCAAAAAAAAAAAAGTACTATTACATGTTATCAAATGGCTTATTCTTGAAACATTATGCTAAATGAAAAAGAAGTTGGGCACAGAAGATCACATATACAATTCCACTTTCATTAAATTCCTAGACAGGCAATCCATTAAAAATTCCAAGTATGAATCCCAGCACTCAGGAGGCAAATACAGGCAGTTCTCTGAGAGTTCTAAGACATGGTAAACCTTGTCTCAAAAAAAAAAAAAGTTTTAAACAACAAAGCAAGCAGCAAGTAGTCAATAGCTGCCAGCAGAAAGGGGAAATAGAACTGATATTCTATATGAGATTTCTTTTAGGACTGGTGGATATTCTATGCATAGGTGATATATTCACAATAATATGGATATACTAAAATCATTGAGATACATTTTAAAATAAGAATTTTGCATTTAATGTGGCACATAAAAATTTGAAAGTATAAAAATATACCTCTAGATAAAAAAATTAATGTGACATGTTCCAATTAAAAACAGCATATGCAATATGATGCTTTTATTTATGTGAAATATTTTGATGGTTATATAAAAGCATATTGCCCAGATAATAGTTCTATATACTATACTAATAGTCTTACTATGAAAAAAAAATAACCAGGAAATTATCCTTTAGTATTATTTCAAATTTTTCTTTTTAAAAGAGCATGTATTACTTGCAAAAGATAAAAAAAGTAAAATTACTACCATCTGTAAAGAAAAGTACATAACTAAGACAAAATACATGAAGTTGAGAGAACCCAGCAGACAATAAGCATAGGTTGTTAACCTGGGGCCCATGAATGTCATGGAATCTGTGAATTTGTATAGAAAAAAAAAAAAACTGTATCACAGTTTTCACTAAAATGCAGTGCTTTTTTCATACAGACATAGACAACCTACATAGTAGTAATGGTAACTATAATTTTTGTCAATAAACAGAATTTAATGTTTATATCCTATTATAGTTGTTACAAAAATCTCAGAATATTTTCACTACTTCATAATTATAGTTATTAGACTCACTACATCTTCTTAAATACACTAAGAAAGAGGTATATATACTTTCTTACCACATTTATTTTTTTAATAGTTTTGTTTTGTTAGGGATTTTTAGAGGAAAGAACTAATTTTGTTTTTGAAACCAGGTCTCATGTATTTTATCACAGGGTACCCTTGAACTCACTAAGTAGCCAAGGATAATCTTGAACTTCTGATCCTATTGCCTCTACCTCTCAAGTGCTGGGATTACAGGAGCATGAAAATATAACCCAGGATCTTGTGATGCTAAATTGCCCTCTACTAAGTAAGCTAAATACTCAGCACAAAAGGTTCTTTTTAATCCAATTTATTCCCTTTATTTACTTTCAATTATACAATGAACCACAGCCACAGCCGTCTCCAGGCTATCAGTGGAGTTCTCAGAACCTAGCAAAAGTTAAAATCTCTGATGTCCACAGGCCAGGAATAAAATCAAGAATTAAGTAGGGCCTAAATTCAGGAAACAAGTCATTCCAGTAGAGAATGCACCAATATATTTCTCTAACACATTTTTAAATTTTTATTTATTTTTGACTTTTGAGGCAGGATAACACCATGTAGCTCTGACTGGCCTGAATGGAACTAGGCTTATTACCCAGGCTGGGCTCAAACTCTACAGAGATCTAGATGGTCTGTTTCTCAAATGCTGAGGTTAAAAGCAGGTGCCACTACTAACAAATGAAGTGGAAACTTAAGGGTTCTTTGGAAAGTCAGCTGGATGGTCTTTTGCTGAGGTAAACACATGAAGGAATATTTCACTGAAGCAGACACAGGAGAGAGGATGTTCTGTAAAAACAGGCACATGAAAGGACACATGATGAACTATTCTTCGCTAACAACACGCATATATTGGTCCACCTTACACTGTGTAGTTGAGCTTCATTTGTTGGAACTCCATAGAGAAACACAGCAAAAATGTTAAGGTGGTGTGCTGCAGTTTCTTGCTGCTTCCAAGAACCCAGGCTGATTGGCAGAGTGGTATCAGCTGAGACAGGTGCACGTACTGAGGAAAGACCCATGGAGAACGCATGTTTGGAGGGTATAAATAGGGCTCCACGGACAATGACAGAGGCAGAGCTTGGCTTGCTGGTACAGCTTGCTGTGTGCAAAGTTGGGTCTTGAATCTTCACTGATCTTCACTTCATTTAGAGAACACAGCTGAGAACTTCTGGTGTTCCTGCTGGTCCCTCCTGCTGACTTGTGCTGAGGCTGAGGCCTGGCTGCCTCTGCTAGGTAGTGTCACCCACTGGTGATTCGTGGTTGCAATCCCAACTCTAACAAACTGGCCTGCTGGTATATCCCTGACAACACAGATGGGAGTTGCTCCAAAGAACCTTACTAAACAGTTCCACTTCCCCCTTATCCTTTCTTTCCCACTACCTGTGGTGGGTAGTGGGCTAAAAGGGAGGTAAAAGTATTTAAGAACCATCATTAAAAATAGGTTTTGAAAAATTAAAGTTACAAAAAAAAAATTCTTAATTTTTTTCTCTGAAGTGACTCCTCATCATATTCTGACTTGGCTCTAAGTTCTCTCCATCATACAAAATAGCCAATAGGCCTTGAAAGTTTTTTTCATCCCAACATAAATCTTATTAGTTGAGAATTTCATACATTTTGATTATATCTACCTCTATACCTTTAAGACCTATTTCTTGACTTAACCATTTATATTTTAATTCTAAATTTTAAAAGAAACTCTCTTCCCATTCTCATCTCAACTGACTCTATCAGACTAATATTTTAAGTTAAAATTTTAATTTACAGACATTCAATTTCGTAAGTACTGTATTTACATCATTTCTACTACTTCTCTCCACTCTAACTCCTCCCACGTCCAACTCCATGTGCCTAACTCCCAAATTCAAAACTTATCACTTACATCTGTCTGTCTGTCTGTCTGTCTGTCTGTCTGTATCTGGCCTCTGTAGGTGCATGCACATGCATGCATGCACATACATGCATGCACAAAAAACACAAACACACACACACAAAAAGGTCGATTATTTT